CTAGTACCCACGCACATTAAGAACCTGGAAGAAGGCACAGGGTTTGGAGGGTCAATGGAAGAACTTGAAGAAGAATCCAACAGGCCTCTGGAGCAAGTCATTCATTCATACAACAAACATTTCTTTCTAACCCTGTGAGTCTGTGAGGTATCACCAGCCAGCCTCTCCCCAGGATTCACAGAGGGCCAACCTCAAGCCCCCCATTGTAGAACTAGGTGGGATCACTTTGCCCCAAGGCCTTTGTTTCAACTTGGTCACACCCCACCTGGCTGGGGGGAGGGGCAGTTGCCTGTTGTAATTTATTGGGGATCCCAACTCCCTCCATAATGGACTGACTGAATGGATGATGGGAAAGCCTGAAGAAACCCATCACACCCAAAGGCACAGTGGCTATTTCCTCCAGCAGTGCAGATAGCAGCCATCCTCATGAGACCTTGCCCACTCCTACCATGAACCTTCCACATGAGGTCCCAAAGGGTCTGGGGGCTTTCCTGGAGATCTCTGCTCCCACTAAGAGCCAGAAATCCTCCTCCCCCCTATCATCTAGATAGAAAGGGAAGACCTTCAGTCTCTTACTGAAGGCCTCCTATTGTCTCCAGGAACAAATACAAAACGTTCTGTTTGACATTCAAAGCTCTTCATGACCTGCTCCCTCTTACTTTTCCGGTCTTCTTACATCTCACTGCCCAAAGTGTACCCCAGTCCCCTGACACTGGCCTTTTGACTGTTCCATGAACAAGACCCTCCATCTCTTGGCTGCTACCATTTTCTCTAGTCCCGATTCCTGGACTGCTCTCTTTCCTCATCACCTACTGACCTCTCTGGCTTCCTTTAAGTCCCAACTGAATTCCCACCTTTTACAGGAAGCCTTACACAACCCCTCTTAATTCCAGCGCCTGCCCTCTGTTAATTAGTTCTTATTTACCCCATCTATAGCTTGTTTGCATGTATTTGTTTGTTTTCTCCTCCAGTAGATTGTAAGCTCCCTGAGGGCAGACTGTCTTTTGCCTCTTTTTGAATCCCTAGCTTTTATCACAGAGCCTGGCACATTGTGGGTGCTTGATACCTGTTTCTTCCCTCTTCCTGACCACATACCCCATACAAAGCCTCCATACACACGTACCTCACACGCGCGTGCGCACACGCACGCACACACACACATACACACCCTATACCTACAGCTACACACACCCCTTACATTCTTGGGCTGTTATTTTTCGTTTTCCAAGAGGCCCAGTGACATCACGGGGGATGTCTTCACTCTTGCGTGAATTGGATTTAAGTGAGGCAGAGTCGTGCAAAGTCATCAGCCTCTTCTCTCTTACTGATTCGTCATAGTCCAGCGGTAGGACAAAAGTCAGGGCTGGTGATGGCCTGGGATGCAGTAGATGCATCTTCAATGTCTGACCAGGCTCTAAACCTCTACAGCATCTGCTTCAGCAGCCTTCGTGGCCATGGGAACAAACTGTTCTCATCCACCCATTTTGCTGGGGGACGTCTTCACGAGCTTAGTGCAGACACCCCCTAATTCAACAAAGGGTTTGAGATTCCTCAGTTACCCACAACCTGGTTTAGTCTATCTACTGGGATGGCTTCCCCTGGCTGCGTCTGCCATAGACCCAAACCTACAAGACACATACAACCCATGGAGAGTCATAAGGCACACATAACACACAGGATTTAGAGCTAAAAGAACATTAGGGATTATCAGATCCAACCACATCATTTCACAGAAAAGAAGCAGGCGTGGACATGCACAGGGATAGACACAGAGGCACAGGCACGCTCACAGACACAATATGGAGCTTGTGACCTTTTACCTGTGCAAGCGCGCGCGCGCGCGCACACACACACACACACACACACACACACACACACACACACACTGCTCCTGCTCTCTGTCTTTCTCAGTCAATCAAGCAATCCATAAACATTTATTAAGCACCTGCTATGTAACGGGCACTATGCTAAGCAGTGGGCACACAAAAAGAAGCAAAAGACAGTGCTTGCCCTCAAGAAGCTTACAATCTAACGGAAGAGACAACATGAAAAAATATATATTCTAAGTAAGCTTTATACAGGATAAGTAGGAACTAATTAACAGAGGGAAGGCACTGGAAAAAGAGGGTTTGGGGAAGGTGTCTTGTAGTAGGTAGGATTTTAATTGGGACTTAAAGGAAGCCAGAGAGGTCAGTATTCAGAGCAGAGAGGGAAAGCATTCCAGGCACGGGGGACAACTACACAGACTGCCCGGAGCCAATAAATGGAGGGTCTTGTTTGTGGAACAGCCAACAGGGCAGTGTCCCTGGATCGAAGGGTACATGGTGGGGAGAAAGGTGTAAGAAGACTGGAAAAGGATGAGGGAGGGGTCTCTGTCTCTTTCCCTCCCTCTGTCTCTGTCTCTGTGCGTGTTTCCCTGTCTCTCTGTCTGTCCCTGTGTCCCTGTCTGTCTCTGTCTGCCTGTCTACCTCTGTCTCCCTGTCTCTCTGTCTCTCTGTCCCTGTCTCTCTATCTGTCCCTGTCTCCCTGTCTCTCTGACTCTCTGTCCCTGTCTCTCTGTCTTTCCCTGTCTCCCCATCTGTCTCTGTCTGCCTGTCTCCCTGTCTCCCTGTCTCTCTGTCTGCCTCTGTCTCCCTGTCTCTGTGTCTCTGTCTCTCACACACATCCACACAGCACACACACTCAGGATAGTGGTAGGACTTGGGAACTAGCACCAATTATCTCCTGCTGTCATAGGAGCCGTGGGAGCTGGAAGGGAGGTCTGAAGTCTTGGCTGAGCAGGAATGCCTTCGAGCATACACTGTCTCTGTCAGGTGGTGATCTAGTCTCTTCTCGAGCATTTCCAATGATGGGGAGCTCACTGCGTGCAGAGGCAGCCTACTTTACTTTTGAATAACAGGGACAGTGACTAGTGAGAGAAAAAACTGAAAGAGAAGGTGAGAGACAGAAATGGAAAGTGCGAGAGGAGAGGGGAGGAACCCGTGGGTTTTTAATCACCTACTTTGTGCCTGGTGCTGAGCTAAGGGAGCACAGGGGATACAAACACAATGGTCCCTACCCTCAGGGCGCTCCCGTTTAACAGGGATTACAAGGAATCCAGGAGCTCTGCGGGGGGGCGGGGGGGCAGCGCGGATGGTGCAGACTGTTTGGGCCGCAGAAACATTGTAGAGGCCTGACTCAGGACAACATAAAGTGAAAACTCACCTCTAACCCAGGAACAATCTTTCCTAAATACTTTAAGGAAGCATTTCTTGATACTGAACTGAAGTCTGCTTCCCCAGAATGTCTTCCCCCCAAAAATCCCACACAGAAATCACACAAAGGCATGATTTCAGGATGCACTAGAGGAACAGATGTACTTAAAAGGGCCCCAGGCATCCAGGCCCCTTAGTTGCAGTCCCCCCCAAAATACCCAAAAATTTAAGGGCCTAGGGCCCACGGTTCAAGACCCAGGGATCCAGGCAATAAGCCCCAGCCCCTCCCCCAACCAAGATTGAGCCAGTCCCTGCCAGGCACCTTCCCCCTATTGGAGACCCAGGCATCCAGGGCTCCCATCTCTCCCTGGTCCAACCTCTAGAGCCAAGCTGACTGAGCCTGACCCTTCAGACGCTCAAAGACCAGGCTTCTAAACGGCCCTGCATAACGTGGCTCCACCCTGGTCAACTCGCTCTGGGTTGGAATGTTAATACTCTTTGTAAGCTATGGTGCCTACAACTGAACCGGGTGACCTAGATGCGATCTGACCAGAGCAGAGGACAGAAACGCTCCTGGTGCCCCTGGACAGGCCTCTGTCCATGCACTCCACGAGAGCGTGAGCTGCCGCTGCCCACTTCTGATAGCATGCAGTCCACTAGGACCCTGAGATCACTTCCACGTGAACTGCCACCACGTCACGTCTCCCTTGCTTTTTATGGGTCAGCTGAATTTTTGAACCCAAGGGAACAACTTTATACTTGAGCCAATTAAACGTCACCTTATCAGTTCTAATTCCTCTCTCTAGACTACTAGACCTTCGGGATCCCGCTTATGTTGTCCACCCTGTTAGCTATCCTGTCCAGCCTATTGGGTCCAGCCTCTCATCTCCTCCCCACCTCAGATATAGACGACTGGCCAGGAGCCAGGTACTGGGGCTTTCTCAGGTCCATCTCTCCTCAAGTATTCAGACCTCTGACTCCAACCCCCTTTAAGGATCCCTGGGTCTAGGCCCAGTGACCCAAGCACCTAGGCCCTCCCCACACCTGGGCCCCGGCTCCGGCCCCCCTTGGTGGTCCAGCCCCCCCTGGTGACCCCGGCTCCAGCCCCCCTTGGTGGCCCCTGGCTCCAGCCTCTCTGGTGGCCCCTGGCTCCAGCCCCCCCACCCCACCCCCCAGTCACCTGGGCTCTTCCTGCTCTTGCCCTCCCACCACTAGCACCCAAGCACAGCCATCCTTCCAGATGGGAGTCAGGGGGATCAAAAGAGGTCCCAGAACCCCCAGTGGCAGGGTGGGCTCCACTGTAACAGGGAAGTACTAGCCTCGGCTACAGTTGTATATCAACAGCTATTTAGCAACAAATAAGCCCAGACAGGCTGGGTGCCTTCCATCCCCTCTGGGAATGGAACTCAAAAACGTCAGGAGAAAAGGGACCAGGCTCACGGCCACCACAGCCTGGGACCAGACGGCTGGGGGAGGGGACCTTGGTCCCTGTTCCATGGAGGCAGGGACTGGAGGGGCCTCCAGGGGGGTGGGGGAGGGGGCTTCACCCTCACATCCCCAATGCCCAATGCCTGGATCCTGAAACTAGACCCCTGGTCCTAGGCCCTTAAATTCTTGGGTATTTGAGGGGGGGGACTGCAACTGGGGGCCCTGAATATCTGAGCCCTAAGCCCCTTTAAGTACACCCATTCCTCCAGCCCAGCTTGAACTTGTGCTGGAGATCATGGAAAGAATGGGGCGGAGAACTCTTGGAAGTAAGAAGGGAGGAGGTTGGGGGGGGGGGACGACCCAGGGCGGGGAATTTAGCTAAAGAACGTTAGAGGTTTCCGGCCACAGCGGCAGGACCTCCTGGGAGCCAACAGGCAGGGAAGGATAGCCGGGAAGAAAAGAAAGAAGGAAAAAGAGAAGAAAAGACAGAAAGAAGGAAAGAGAGAAAGAGAGAGAAAGGAAGGAAGGAAGGAAGGAAGGAAAGAAGGAAGAACAGTGAATCATTAAGAGATAGAGGCAGAGAACAAGAGTCCACCTCTGAGTCCAGGTGTTCAGAGGGTGCTGTGCCATGCAGTGGGTCTGGGTTCTGGGCTCCCTTCTGGCCCTCGGGTCCTTCAGTGCTGGGAAAGACCAGAAGGGCCTCGGGAGGAAGGAGAAAGGAGGACGGCGAGATGCCCAGGCAGCGGAACAAGTGAGAGAGTCGCTTATGCTTAAGGTAAGCAAGATAAAAGGAAAGGGGGATGAGGGGAGGTAAAGGAGGCAGATATGTGTTAGGAGCTGGCTGATGGATTAGGGAGGTGTCAGCAGCTAGGCATGATGGAAAGAGGCCTGGACTTGAGAGTCAGGAAAGATGAGAGTGCCAATCCTGTGTCTGGAGCTTCCTAGCCAGGCCAGTCACTTCCACCCTCTGGGCTCATTTCCCCCAAATATAAACTTTTAAATGCCAAATAAGTATCAGTTATTATAATGGGGAGCAGGTATGGAATTGAGAAGGATACGGAAGAATTCAGAGACAGGGATCAGGAGAGGAGTCTGAGGAACTGAGGGAAAAGGGCCAGGGCAGCAGGGAGATCACGGCAGAGGAGAGCTGCAGGATGGGTGTCAGGGGGCGTTGGGACAAAAGGGAACTGAAAGCCCTGCTCCCCTCATCCACCAGCAACTCCAAGAGGCCCTGGAGCTGTCCCCGTTCCAAGGGCCAGAAAGCCCCGCTGGAGCTCCTGAGGCGGAGGGTGCCCAGGGAGAGGAAGATGAGGGGGAACCCACCGTGAGTCCCACTCCTGGCCTCATGCCGTCCCCAACGCCTGAGGATGCCATTTCCTATGTCTGTGAGTAACAGGAGGGGAGGGTGTCACCCCTCTGAGGCCCGACTGCAGCCAAGGCAGGGATGACACTGAGTTAGCCCTCAAACTTGGGCCTACCTCCTGAACAGCCCCCTCCTCATCCTCCGAGGAAAGGTGCTTGGGCCAAACTAAAAACCAAACCTAGCCAGTGTTCCTCCTCACTGTCTCCCCCAGACCCACTGGCCTCTCCCTCTCTGACAAACCCTGGAACCACCCCTGCTGAGCTCCCCTCTGCTGACCGTCTGTCCCCACACTTGGGCCCCTGGTCACTGATGCCTGCTGACCATCCCTACACTTGGCCCCTGATCATTGATGCCCACTGACCGTCCCCACACCCAGGCCCATGCTCGTGCGCTGCTCCCTCACTCACAGAGACCCCGTCTCTATCACCCCCTCCCCAGTGGGCCGCCTGACGGGGCTGGACACTGGGCTGCATCAGCTGCATGTCAGACTCTACACTCTGGATGCCAGGGTGGCAGAGCTGTCTCGGGGGCTGCAGCTACTGCGGAAAGAGGCCAGAGATACTCGGGAAGCCCTGGAGGCCCTGGAGGAAGCCCAGAAGCAGGGGCAGCGAGATCGAGGGCGTCTGGAGGGTTAGTGTGGGATGGGGCCGGGGAGACCCAGAGGACAGAAGGGAGTGGAGGCTGCCGGGCATCAATGTTGGGGTGTGGTCTTGGGGGATACCAAATGTCAGGGAGTCTGGGGGCACCCTGAGTGGGGGCTGGCGAGGGCCCCAGGCCGACACTGTGCCCTGCTTCTCGCAGGTTGCCTGAAAGGTCTCCGCCTGGGTCACAAATGTTTCCTCCTATTCCGGGACTTCCAGGCCCAGAGTGCAGCCCATGCCCACTGTGGGGCTCGTGGGGGAAGCCTGGCCATGCCTGCTGATCAGGCCCAGATGGAGGGCCTGACTCGATACCTTAAGGCTGCCCTGGCCCCCTACAACTGGCCCGTGTGGCTGGGCATTCACGACCGGAGGGCAGAGGGCCTCTACCTCTTTGAGAACAGCCAACGGGTCTCCTTCTTTGCCTGGCATCGAGCCCCGCTCGTGGGTGGCCCAGGGGCACCTACTCCTCATGGTCCAGGCCACCCTGCCCTGGGACCTGACCAACCCAATGGGCGAGAGCAAGAGAATTGTGTGGCCCAGGCCTCGGATGACGGCTCGTGGTGGGACCATGACTGTGAGAGACGATTCTATTATGTCTGTGAATTCCCCCAGTAGGGGTACAGAATCCTTCCTTCCAGTGTCCTCCCCCACCCCCTCCTCCTCCTAGATCTCTTACCCCGCCCCAATGCCTTCCTTGAGGACCCCTTCCTCTCCTGAAGTAGCCTTTCCTTCACCACTCCCTGGCTTCTCCCCGAGCACCCCAAGGCTGCCCTAGGCCTCCATAAGTCTCCTCGCCCTCTTTGGGGAATGCTTCCCCCTCCTTTTGAAGGAGAGCTCCAGAATTCACCCTTCAAGACCCAGCTCAAGCCCACCTGGGCCTTCTCCCCACTGAGACCTTCCCTTGGAGCTCCCAGCCAGAAGTGCGCTGTGTAGCTTAGAGTGGGAGCCTCGACCCCTTCCCCCCCCCAGGGCATTACTCTCCTCCCCGACCTGGTGCCTGACCCAGGGCAGGACCCACAAAGGCAGCCAGGAAACCGGCTGACCCCCAACGACGGGGCAAGCTGACTTGGAAGCTAGTGAGCTCCCTGTGTCTGGAGCTCTGCAAGCAGAGACAGGAGAGGCCCCGAGATGATTCACGTTCAGCTGTTGAATGGCTCAGATGACCGCTGAGGCCCCAGCTGCAAGGCCTGGGGAGTTTATCACTTGAGAATGAGCAGGAGTTTTCCATCTTGCCATCCATCCCCCCCCCCCAAGGGATGAGTCCCTGCAGGGCCAGAGGGCATCTTCTTGGAGGCTTCCCAGGAAGGACTGGCTCCTTCTTCACCCTGCCCCCTACCCGCGCCCCTGCTTCTTTTCCCCCGGTTCCTTTCTCTGCTCTCCCCCTCAGGAGGGGCTTGGGGAAGGCGGGCGTGGTGAGGAAAACGCTGAAGGCTTGTGTAGCCAAGGCCAGAAAGGTCCGGCTGTGATTACAGGAAGAAGGTGACCAGAGACCTGACAGGGGAAAGGGCGCTGGCCTGGGAGTCGGGACACTCCTCAGGCCTCCTTCCCCAAACCCTTTCCTCCCCTCCTTTGAGAAATAAAATCTGGAAAGAGGCGGCACAGAGTAGCGAGTCTGAGTCCATTCAACACACATTTATTAAGGGCTGACTTTTTGCTAGGCACTGTGACTACAAGGGCAAAACTGAAACTGTCCCAATCCTCGAGGTGCTTCCTCTGTCCTGATGTAGACATGTTTCATGCTGACAAGGATGTAACCCATGGGACAGAGCTTTCCTCCTGACAAGAAGGCCCCGGGGCACTTTGGTGACCTCCCCCACTTCCCTCGATCCTCACCCCCTCCCATGAGCTGGGGATGTCAGCATCGAACCCAGCCAGCCAGCCCTCTCTGCTTACACATGTGGGAACACGATCAGGCTCAAGATTGGCGTGGGCATTTAGGATTCTACAGGAGCCAGGAAGGCTCTTGTCGGTGCCCAGAGACAACAGCACCCACCAGGAAGCCAGCTTCCCTCCAAAGCCGTCATGTGCAGCACCGCCCTGGGCAGGGGTCCCCAGGTGGGCTTCGCTTCTGTCCTTCCGGGGGTCCTGTCTGCCTGGCCTCCAGCAGATGGTACTCGCACCCTTCCCCAGGGGATCAGCTCTCTGATTCAGAACATTCTAAAGCAGAAAGTTCTAGACTTTTGTGTGGGGAAGCCTGGCTCCAAACCCTACTCCGAATCACAGTTTTAAACGCATAAAGTAAAACACACAAGATTACAACAGAAACCAATTATACTAAAGTACAGTTATCAAAACATTATTTAAAAAAACAATCTCACAGACCCCAGGTTAACCCCTCTTCTAGAGTCTCTTCCTCTGGACCAGTGTGCCTCCATTTTCTGAGGCCTCCTTTGGTCAGGACAGAAAGTGGAGGAAATATCACCAGCCTAGCACATTCCCACCCCAACCTGGTAAGTGTTCTGCCTGGCTTCAGCCAACTAGAGCACAGAAGCCTTGAGCTATCCTGGGGCTATCTTGGGCACACTTCTTGTCAGTGCTGACCCCTGAGGGAGCCTCCCCTGTACACACACTGCCCCTTCTCCCACCCTGGTTTCCATGCCCCAGGGTCGGGAGCCTCGTTCTAAGCTCTATCCCTGCCCGCCAACAGCTATCTCAAGGTGGGATGCTTTGTTGCAAAGGCCCCTTCGATTTCTGACATTTTGAGAGCCTGGGGCCCACATTTCAGCCCTGACTCGTCCGGTGCTTCTTCAGCCGGAGCCCCCTCCCCCTCCCCGTCGTTCAGCCCAGGTCCGCTCCTCTCAGAGAGGGAGAGTGGTCTCAAACAGTAGGGAGGCGTATAGGGGGGCCAGGGACTAGGCCCTGGCTGACTGACCCGATTGTCTCCACGAGCTCCACCAGCTCCAGGACAGCAAAGGAAATCTTTGGCAACGCTCAGAGGGACAGTCTGAGCCTGTGTCTCAAGCTGTGGCTGGCTCTGAGCCCCACATCTTAGGAGGAACGTTGACACGCTAGGTCAAGGAGGGCATCCAGGCCAGCCAGGGGCCCGGGAGGAAGGGCACACAAGGCCCTGCTGGCAGCTATCCAATCCCAGCCCGGTGCGATTCCACTCTCACTCCAGACCACCCACCAGGAAAGAACTGGGCTGGCCAGGGGCGCTGGGCACAAGTGGGGAGACCAGGGTTTAATGTGGAGAGCGCCTGGGGCTGGCACGGAACCATGAGGGGAACACCAAGTTCTTTCCTGAGGTTCCGCGGGACTGGGCTTGGCCTCTGGCTACCCCCAGCGGGCAGCTCCAAAGGACCATGACCAAAGCTGCCAAGAGGGCCAGTGAGACAGCTGGGGTCTCAAAGGCTGCAGCAGGAGGCTTAGAGGACCCTGGGGGCAGCTGTGCAGCCCCAGCTCAGAGCAGGGACAAGGAGGAAGGCTCAGTCCTGCCTCTGTGCTGCGGTGACCTCGAACAAATCCTCTCCCCACCTTAGGGCTCGGCTTTGCCAGCCACGGAGTAGAACCAGGACCTCTCTATGAACCCAATTCTACATCCAAGGAGCCTGCTCATGCCCTAGGCTGAGTCCTTCTCCCCCTGGGCCTCACTTTCACCAGCCCTACAATTATTGGAGCTCCCAGGCCCTCCCGGATCTAACTGCCCATGATGTGGAGGTCAGAGGTGGGTGAGGAGTGCCCACGTTCACACAGGCCTCCACACGGCCCTTGGAGCACCAGGCACGTCTCCCACCATCCCTCTGGCCCTTGGCTTTCTGTTCTGTCAAGGGATGAGATTATACTGGGTGGTCTTGACACGCCCTTTTGCTCCAAGTGAACGGTGGCGTTTCTGTGTCTGTATCCCCCCTCCCCCACCTGTCCACCTCCCCCCACCACACACACACACACACACCCAGGCTTGGCACAGAGCAGGCTCTTAATGAATCCTTGGGGATTAAAAGGCAGATGGATTAAACAGTCCGAGAACCCTAGAAGCCAGTGACTGATGGAAAGTCCTGCCCACCCCCCCAACCCCCACCTCTTTCATACCCACCCTCCTCTCCAGGGAGTCACCAAGAGTTGTGGTGAAGGAGGCTTCAGACCAGACGGAAGCCACAATTCCCACTGCAGAAGTGATGGGCTTCCAGGCGGATGCGGCCAGGGCTCCCCAGAGGCACAGGCTGAGCTATGGATGTGTAGGGATCAGCCTGAGTTCCGCCTCTCCTACACACACACACCACACTCATGTATGCACACACATGTGTACACATGCTTGCTCATGCACACCCACACACTCACTGTGCACATGTGAGTACACACATGTGCACACCCCCACACATGCACTGCGCACATGCACTTACTCACATGCACACATGCACACACCATACTGGAAGACCCAAACGTGGAATATGGAAGAGGAGGACCCGTCCTCTCTCCTTCGTTGGGAGTCGGGGGAACTGGGTGTGAGTGCCAGCTTGGCCCAGACTCACTGGGTGACTTTGGACGCGTTACTGGGAAAATGAAGGTGAAGGGTCACACCGGAGAGCCCCCAGCTGGCCTTCCTTCTGACTCTGGTATCCCGGGATTCTAGGATTCAGGGTGACCTCACCTGGGGTCTGTGGCTGGGCCTCCACTTCAAGAACTCAAGAGCTAGCAGGAACCTTAGTGAGAGCTAGCCTGGCATGCTCATTTTACAGATGGGAAAACCGAGGCCCAGATGGGGGAGGCAATGTTACAGGAGAACGAGGTCCAACCTTGCATTTTCTTTTTTTTTTTTGGTGAGGCAATTTGGGTTAAATGACTTGCCCAGAGTCACACAGCTAGTGAGTGCTATGTGTCTGAGGCTGGATTTGAACTCAGATCCTCCCGACTCCAAGGCTGGAGCTCTATCCCCTGAGCCACCTAGCTGCCCCCCAACCTTTCATTTTCCACTTGGTGGAACTGATGTGGAGGGAGGTGCAAGTCACTAGACCAGCATGCCACAAGCAGTGTTTGCCCGAAGTCACAGGTGTAGACCCCAAAGCTAGTTCTAAAACCCAGGCCGCAGAATCCTAAAAATCAGACTTGGAAGGCACCTTAGAAGACATCTCTCTAGTCCAGTCCCTTCAGCGCATAACAACTTCGAGAGGATGAGGTGGCCCAGTGGATAGCACCCTGGGCCTGAATTCGAATCCTGCCTCACGCACTGGGTGACCCTGGTCAGTCTCTCAGCCTTGGTTTCCTCATCTGTAAAACTGGGTGATAGTTATAGCACCTACCTGTCAGTGTTATTGTGAGAGGATAAAATGAAATAACCTATGCAAGTTGTTGTGCAAAGCTTAACACTCTGTATAAATGCTAGATTGTTATTGTCATCATCATCATTATTATTACAGATGAAGATCATGAGGCCCAGAGAGGTTGGGTGGCTGACCACAGCCTGTTAATCAACACTGTTAAAGTGCCCACTATGTGCCACGCCTAGAAGTGAGCGGCAGCCCAGAGTCAAAGCCAGGGCCTCCACCTCCAGGCAGTACAAACATGGGACCATTCCTGTGCACATGTGATCGGGCCAGGAAGAGGCCTCCGATGAGCACTGCTGTGGTGGCGATGCGGGGATGACCTCCCGGCCGGCAGTGGGGCTGGAGCTGGCCCACAGTGGGTAGACAGTCCCAAGCCAGAGGCTCTAGCACCGGATGCTCAAACCCCAAGACCCCAAGAGTCCCAGAATGGGTGCCAGGCTGAGACAGCCCTCTGCCCACAGCCTGGGCTGGAAGTCTGGAGGCCCCCAGCCCTGCCTCTCCCTCACTGTGTCAGTGCTCCAGAGTGGACTCCATCTGGCCCCATCCTCTCACTTTATGGATGGGGAAAACTGAGGCCCAGGGCAAGAAAAGGACCCGTCTGAGATCTCACAGTTGTCCCAGACTCAGGCAGAGCTCTGGAGCTTGTAGGAGACCATCTATTCCAACTCTTTCATCTCACAGAAGAGGAGACCAAGGCCCAGAATGGTCCTTAGGAAATCGGGGGCAATGTCGTGGACAGCTCCCAGAGCAGAGGGCCCATCCTGGAGGATCAGCAATGGCCTCGGGGGCCATGATGAGCTGTCCCAGAATGGAAGTGGAGGTGTCAACTGAAGGGCCAGGAGGGGAAGCCAGAGGAGGCCAGAAGGGGGACTTCTTAGTCCCTTCCGAGGAATGGGGAAGAGGATGAGCATTTATATGACACCTACTATGTGCCAGGCACTGCACACTTTACAAATATGATCTCCTCTGACTGAACAACCCTGGGATGAAGGGGCTATTATTTGCATTTTACAGATGGGGAAACTGAGGCAAGCAGGGCCCAGGGTTGCTGCAGTGTCTGAGGCCAGGTTTGAAGGCCTCCTCTTCCTAGGTCAGTCGGGTATCCGTGAAGGGCTGACCAAGTCTGGATCGTGCAAGGGAACACAGATACAGAAAGGCTCTGCCCCAAGTGGCCGCTCCCCTTTCTCCATCTTGTTCAGAGGCTGACTGAAGGAGCCATACCAGCTTGGCCCAGAGATGAGAAGACCCGGGCACGGGCGGGAACAGATGAGCTGTCTCCAGGCCCTTGAGGGGCTGTCAGGTGGAAGACTCGGCATGGCCCGAAAGTCAGGAAGCTCT